AGGGAAACATAGCATCTCCAGCTCTGCTTTCTCAACAGCACATTCCTTCACTTAGAAGCATCTTTGTTGGCAGGTGAATGAAGAGATTTTGAACGGATGTAAACATTCAGAGTTCAGGAATCACTCCCATCTGCAAGGACTAGAGGTTGCCTTTTGCCCCTTCTAAGAAGGTGCCATCTCTGCATTGAGAGGCATCAGGTGATGGGTACAAGACAGATCATATATTTTCTGCCCTGTTTATTTTCTTCAAAAGGAGTCATGTGAGTCTTAGCTGGTCGGTGCCTAGCACTTCTGTGGGAAATGTGAACTACTTTTTATCACGGTTGCTATTTTTAGTTTCTCAAGAATTTGGTACATTTTAGTCCCTATTAGCTTGAGGTTTGTGTTTAGCATGTAATCAAAATCAATACTAGTATAGTCTATATCTGGTAGTTATTCTGTAATGCTCTCCTGTGCTTACAGACTCTAGCGGCATTGAAAGTTTCTGTCAAGGAGTTGTTGAAGTTTCTTTCCTGTTAGCTGAGTAGTTCAGTCTCACAGAGGTGGCTTTCAATACTTTGTGGCTGCACACATGCTATTGTCACATCTGCCGTTTCTTTTCTGGTTTTGTTTTGCAGCCACATGTGAAGTCAGCGAGGGAAATTTCAAAACATTCGATCACTTCAGCCATACATATTCTTTCAATAAAAGCTGCAACCTGATAGTGGCCCAAGACTGTACTGAACACCCAAAATTCATCATTACTACAAGAAAGGTTGATACTCAGTCTTTCTCAAGAGAGGTTCACATAAATACAACCTCAGCGTAAGTGTGGTTTATCCTGAGGGCTCAGGAATTAGGTATAAAGTTTCAGGGAGTTAGTCTGGGCATGGGAGATGTCTAGCTCCTAGGTGAAACTGGTTTGCAATCAGACATTTGGGGAAAGATGGGATTTCCAGAAGGAATCCTCAACTGAGACTCTTTGGTTTAGTTGCTTGTGTCTTCAATTTCACAGCCACAGTTATCTGATAACCAGCTCATTAAGTTCCCACACTATCTTTTCTTTAAAGGTTGACTCTCAAAACCCAACGTTCCAGTGAATTTTGCACTTTGGAAAGAAAATGGTTAATTCATACATTCATTCAAAATTCAGATATTCAAATTGGTTCCCTGTTAGCTTTGGTCACAAATATCTCTACTTTTCACATTAACCACTGGTTTCTTCTTTTTTGTTTCTTTTTCTGAAGGAACATCACAATCTCTCCTGCCACAAATTCAGCTCTCCTTGTGGCATGTAATGAAGAACCGGTTCTATCACACAGTGGAGTTTCTGAGTATGAAAAAGGTAAGCTGTAATACCCACTGTTCCAGGAGTGACCTGGAAACTAAATACCTTCAAGAAGTTTTTATAATTCCACAGAACCTCTCAATGTAAAGGAAACACATGTGGGATTAATTCAAGGAAATACTAGAGACTTTACTTTGTTGAGATTCATATTGACTTGCATTCCTGTTTCCTATAGTATACACACTCTTACTTTCCCCCAGCATAATTGGTAGGTAAATAAAACCCTTCCTCACATGTATGGTATATCCAGGTTGGTGACTGTTTAGGAAAAAAGTGGTTCTTATAGTCACAGTTAGATGCTTTGGTTCAGGTATTTAGCTGGAGCATCACCAATGTCATTATCATTTTGAGACTTAGCACTGGATACAAAAGTCAGTTCCAACTGTAGGGAACAGCAGTAGAATATTTTTACAAATCAAGAGATAATTTCAGCCGTTTTTGCTTTCTTGACAAAAAAACAACTTTAGCAGTAAATTTATCATTGTGAATGAAAATGCATTATGGTATATTTTGTGCTATTCAGTTTCTCCATATCACTTTATGATTCACTATCTTTTTACAGACAATGTTAAAATTTATAAAAATGGAACAACAGTCGTCGTGGAAGCTCCAACACAGGGACTGAAGAATGTGACTTTTGATGGTGTAATCCTTAAGGTATTGGGCTTACTTTCAAGGTTACTACTTTCTCTCCATTTAGTACCTTGGCAATGTAACAGACCAACACTTCAGTATTCACTACAAAGATGTGCTATTTTATAGGTTACCGTTGCTTCATGGATGAGAGGAAAGACCTGTGGAGTTTGTGGAAATAATGACAGAGAAAAGCACAATGAACTCCTAATGCCAAATCATAAGCTGGCACACAGCTGTTCTGCTTTTGTTCATTCATGGGTATTGCTAGAAGAAACCTGCTCTGGTGGTGAGTAGATCTGAAAAAAAAAAATGTGCTTGGAGAGAATATGATTTCAGTTTTCCTCTGCCAATAGCTACAAAATGTGGGGTTTTTTATTTAAGCAGCAGATATCTTTTACTTAGAAAAGACAATAGCAATATATATCCGTTTAAACTTCATTAACCCCTGACTGTTTAAAACACTGCCTGTGAATAGGGAGAATATATACTACAGCAAAAGTCTTTATTTCATGTGCTGTTCAATGTTAAAAATTAATTCTACTATAATTTCTTACACTGAGTAGCTTTTTTCTTGGAGAGGCAAAATCAGGCCTAATCTTGCTGCCACTGAAATAAGTGCGATCTTCACTGATGAATCAAAGCAGTTGTTTTCAGCAGACTTAATCAAACAAGTTGCAGACTATGAATGCTGTGTCAGATCTTAAGTTTATCTAAATTTTCAGAGGGCACAAAATTTCATTTTTGTTCTGTACCATCTGAGGCGGCAATCTCAGGGAAGTATTTAGGAATACTCCTGAAGTAAAAGAGCTTCTTCTCGCATGTAGCTGGAAAAATAATGACGGCTTCCCATAACATCAATACAGTTTTGTTCTGTAGGTCTCCATTTACCTTAGACCTGAGATAACTTTATCGAAGTTAATGGTTGTTTTCTCCTTGACTTCAGTGGCAGCAGGATTGTACTTATCTGTGTGTCAGGAAACGGAGTCATAGCTGGGATCCTGTTAAGTTACATTATGCCTTTCTAGTGAGATAATTGCAGCATTATAAAAATCATCCAATACAAAAATTATCCTTGATGTTATTATATAAATGCTGCCTTTTTTTTTATCCATTCGCTACAGTTGACATTTTTCCTAATGCAATGAAGTAGCCATTGTACTTCAGTATCTATTCTTAATAGCTTTCAGACATGAGAGGTTATTTTCTGTGTATTATGTAGTTCTAAAAAACTGGGTATACATGATTCCATTTGGGTTATATTGTGCAATTAGATTTTACAAATAGCTCCCCTTTCAGACTCTTTCCTCTATCCCCCAACTTATTATCATTCTATCTCGATAACCTCGCTACTGTGAAAATGATTTGTCAGGCACCTGTGTTTTAATAAAAGCTGAAGAGAAAATACGGACCTTTATTATTGCAAGGATCGATTGGGATTTATTTCTACAATTTTAACTACCTTTCCTTTTCTTCTTAGGGTGCAAGCTGCAGCGCAGTTACGTGAAGCTGAATCGAAATCCTACTGTTGATGGAGAGGAATCTACATGCTACTCTGTTGACCCAGTACTGAAATGTATGAAAGACTGCGCTCCAATCGAAAAAACTTCGGTTAAGGTTGGCTTCCGCTGTTTCCCAAAAGGTACAATATTTTTCTCTCGCTGTGTCACGTACTGTAGGAGCTCTGTCAGAGCACTCAAAAGAACAAAACACAGCACTGCCACGCACAGACCTGTAGTGCTCCGGCTCGTCTCTGGGCTGCTGTTTTTAATCCCATTAGTATTTGCTATAACCACTGACAGTACTGGCCAGCTAAAAGCTAGTTTAGATGGTGGCAGGTAGCATCATCTGAGAAAAACATCTGAGGTGGTAAAAGGGGCAGTAGTGATTGATAAGAATTTTTTCACATTTTCAGAATCTCCATAAAGTTGAGATAAGCAACACTGAGTCCTTTTATGCACACTACAGCCTGCAATTTTGTGTAGACCAGGGCAAGGAAGGCGATTGAAAGTCAGTCAAGTAGTGTGACATAACTGCTATGATTAGGCTGCCATGCTATGGCACTGTGCAATGCATCAGCAAAAAGCACATTGCTGAAATGTCCTCTAGATTGTTACAAAAAATGTTTTGTTTTTGAAGATATTTTATACACACACACTCATGCTTCAGCTTTTTGAAAATACTGGGCCTTTTTCTGCTTTCACGTACACCAATTTGTCATGGATGTGGTGCATTGTCCAACACAGGTTCATGCTAAAGTTTTATAAGCATGAGAGGAGAATCCAGCCTGGAACCTGCAGATATTTCTGATGCCTAAATCTTTTAATGAATTGCACAGTACTTGTGTACCTTAGGGGGAAGCCTACCATTAGGGAATATCTACTGAAATGGTCTGTTCTCTGTGTTAACCATTGTTGGCCAAATCCGTTGTTAGCTGAGATATTCCTGTGTAGTTTCACTGAAGCCAATGTATCCCTGCGTTGAGTAATACTGGAGAACAGAGTATTTTATGTCTGATTTTAAACAACATCTATGTAAAACTTTGCACTTTGCTCATGTTATTGAAATCTGCCATGTGCTGAATCAGCCAATAAAAGCAACGAGTATCTTACTATAATGGTCAGCCATCTACAACAGCCTGTTCAACAAGTAGCACAGAGAGAGTGCTAATAGTTTTCTGATGGCTCCCTGAGATGTGAATAGATGCATTCTTTTATGAAAGGAAAAACCCACCCTCAACAAAAAAACTTCGAAAATCTTGTTATATCCATGTTTCGCAGATTTCTTTTGTATGTCCAAGTCTGTATCTCTGAAATGTCATCACCCCAGGCCGCTCACTGCCTCAGAATATTAGGCTATAACAAAGCTGTCTCATTCCCTCACAGAAATGTGTGAGAAAGAGAAAAATCGGAAAAAAGATACATTAGTTGTTGTAGCCAGTGCTGCTTTTACAGCAACTGCAGGCTTCTCTGGTTCATTTACTGAACCAGAGACTGAGAAGTCTGCTAGCAGCACTCCTAATCAAGAGGGATTTTAAATTTATTTATCCTTAGGAGAAGGAGGAGGAGGAGGAGAAAGAGGACAGGGAAGAGAGAGAGAAAGAGGAGAAGGAGGAAGGGAAAAGATGCCGTTTGTGGTTTTTAGCAAGATGATTGCTTTTCCTCAGGCTAAGCATCAATAGGAATACAAGGCCAGCCCTTAAAAACTGTTTTTCTTTCTTTGTTCGATGACTTGGAGAAGCAGCAGAAACAAAATCCCCTTCTTTCTCAAGCTGAGAATATTTATTTGTGTATACTGGACAAAGACCTGTTCTCAGCTCTTTATATGAGAACTCAAATCTGACAGTCTGCTGTTTCAAAAGAGAGGGACTCCAGCACTGTCACTGGTGGAGCAAGGAAAAATTAAAGAAGGCAGAATTTCCCCTGTTGTCCTGAAATCAGTGAGACTATAGTCTTAGGATCTTGACTGAGGCAGACATCACTCCAAGTTTAAGTCCATGTATTGGTTTACATTTCAAACATGCCACAATCCCTACCCATAGGGATCGTAGTTACTCAGCCATGATCCAGTTTGCCGAGGGAACTACTTCCTACATGGATATGAATGTGATCAGACCCACAGTGTGCCCAAGAGTAAGAAGCATAACAAGAATTAATGTATAGAAAAAACAGAACCCAGACATTTTGTAGCATTTCTCATTTCACAGCTTAAAAATATTCTATATTTTTAAAAAGCATCTCCAGCACGTTTCTGGGAAATAGTTATTATCTGATTTATTATGCAAAACCTGTGCTTTAGGTTGGACAGTAATTTAGCCAAGGAGAATGTTAACATTTCAGGAGATAAGTGACTGACACAACCTAAACCCATACAGCAGTCTCCAGATTTCCCTGTGATGAGAGATGACATGTTATAAATGTATTGTCCAACTGAGGGATAAAACAAATGGAGGTAAAATTATGAAAGCTTTACCCATTCTCATTACACAAACTTAATCTAAATGGATGTCCTAATATTCTTCCAGATGCAATGATAAACCTCCAACTAGCTAAGAATTTTTATTGGAAGGATGAATATCATTATTCCATTTAGATTATTTCAGCATTAAGGGATATGGCTTATTCAAGCTGCTGTTGATAAAGCAGTGTGGTAAGGTTAATACTGCAACTGACAATGCTCTGCCAGATTTCACAATATATGGGAAACTTTAATTAGAAGTTTATGAACCTCTGAAAATTCTCCAAAGGGCTTATCCTTCAGAATGAACTTCGACAAATAGTCAGCTGAAATATGCAGTGATATGCAGCACTAACATAAAAAGAGATTGCTGATGTATATTGGTTCGTGGTGGTCTTACATTGACTGTGGCTATCTCCAGCACTTTTACAGCCTCCTGCTTGTTGTCTGCGTGCTTCATGAAATGTTATTCATTTTGGTTTTAGGGAAGCATTATAGTAATTATATCATGGATGAAAATCCTGCTCCAAGTCAATAAGTCAGTCAGATGTCAGTTGTGGGGGCAGGATTTCATTCTTTACTTGATGAGGGAGTTGGCAGCCATCAAAACAATATTTCCTTGAAATGTGTTAATTTGCTTGATGTTAGTTAACAACAGCTTCACTCTTCTGACAGATACTGCTGTAAGCCTGCTGGAATGGCAGAGAAGCAGCGATAAGAAATCTGCATCTGAGGATGTTGTGGAGTCTGTGGATGCTGACATTGATTGTACTTGCACTAGCGACTGTAGTTAAGCTAAACATTTTAGTGTTGTGCTATAGACATACTATACAAATAATTGAATAGCTGGACGGATAAGAAGGGAACGTAATAGCTGTAGTAAAATATTAAGAAATGTGCTTGAAGAAAATAAGCCTACTGCATTGCATCCAAAGTCAAATGCATTATGTACAGTCTGCACTGCTTAATAAATATGTTGTTCATTAAATAAGTATTCATGTGGTCTTTCTTTTTATTTTTCCCTATCAACAAAACAATCAGACTAACTATAATATTATCCAGAAATTCTGCTTCCTTTTATCTGAAATATAATTACAGCAGTCCTCTCTTGGAATTATGTTCACTAGGTGATGAAAGGAAAACATTATTATGGCTACTGCTAACATTCTATTGTGCAAAGAATTTCATATTTAACACACTAAAGACACAGTAAGCATTTGTTTTCTTTTATGCTTTCTGGTAAAGAGCAAAGTCTGTTCTTGGAACTGTTCTGAAAAAAAAAATACATTTTACTCCCAGCAAGACCATTAGCCTTAGTACATTCTACAAAGGAATGAATTGGACTGCTAGACCCCCACTGTAGGTTTCCAGTGAGCTATAGTGTGTGACACAGTCCCCATTTTAATTTACATTTCAATGGATGTGCTGTTGCTTCATGAGCTAAAAGTATGAATAGGAACTTTTTTTTGTTTGTTTCTTTAACATTTTCTATTGTATATCTATGAAAATGATGCCTTCGAAAACTTCAGGGAACATTAATACATCAGGTAACATTCCAAGTACTGCAAAAAAATTAATACATAGAAACATATGTAAGATTAATAGCATCATAGAGCTCAAATGAAGCACAAGCAGGACAGTTAGGCTGTGTTTAACCAGTGAAGTGTCAATCTGCCAGCTTTCGCTAGGCCTGTGGGGAAAGGCAATTCCCTCCCACCCCAGGGGATCAGGAGTAGGTGGCACCTTCGGACCCTGAGCAATGGCACAATATTCCTTCACCTTGTACATGAATCAGCTGTGCAGTGAGCCGTGATATGTTTTCCGTAACAGGCAGTAGTAGACGGCATGCTCTTCCAAGGCAAGCCTTAGCATGGGCAAGGTATTGCTGAACCCAAATGCTGTCAGGAAAATGTCATTAAAGAAAATACTTTTATTTTTAACTAAATACTGAGCTATCACAAAGAGGATTGAAAACTAAGTAGCTGAACAATTACAGAATAACTTTTCTCAGAGCAGAAACATCAGTATGTGTAGTACTTCTCTAGCTCTCGAATTGCAGCTTACAACTAATTTGAAATTAGAAAAGATCCAGTTTTTTCTCAGCGTACTGTGCTCATTTCAGTACTTCCAGAAGAAAATACTGTTTTGAGTTTTTCCAAACCAGTGCACTTACCTTGCGGCAAGCATGTTTGCCTCTGCCTCTAAGCCTCTCTCCCGAAGATAA